CAGCATTTTTTGCCAATTCATCTACTATCTCATTTCCAGTGATTCCACAATGGCTTTTAATCCATGCCAACTTAACAGTTTTGCCTTGTTGCTGAAGTTCTATAATTTTATTTATTATATATAATTCAACGTAATTTACTTTTGATTTAGGATTTATAGCACTAATTTTACTTACAGCACTTTTGCTGTCACTATAAATTATAAACTTTGAATGATCTATATTAGATAAATATTTTAGTGCTTCCACTATCGCTATTAATTCAGCTGTGTATATACTCATGATGGAATTGAGTTTAAACATTTTACTGTTTTTATTATTGTCATCACAGTATGCACATCCCACACCTTCGATACTTTTGGATGCATCTGTATATAGTATATAATAATCTTTGAACAATTGTGAACTGTCAGATATAAACATTAATTTTCTTAAAGATAAAGGTAAATTGCTGTAGTCCCTTAAGAAGTATGAACTTGTTCTAGAGTATTAAAGTCAATATTGAAATTTGGGTTTATGTCACATTTATATAGTTGTTTATCATATATTGTCATTTTTGAATATAAATCTACGATATTTAGAGTTTTCTTTTTTATCCAATATTTTTCTGTTAAGTCTGCTAACAACAGCTCCTGTATTTTGAATATTAAACTTGACTTTTTCTCGTACAATCTTACTAAAAGTCTGATGCCAAGTTTTTTTCGTCTTATATCCATTGGCATTTCACAGCATTCGACTTGTAGGTTACAAATGGGTGTACTTCTTAGGGCTCCTATACACAATCTAAGGCATTTATTAACGATTTTGTCTATTTTGTTTAAATGACACTGTGATGCGTCACTGTATAATATTGATCCATAGTCGATTATAGCTCTTATATTATTTTTAAATAATAACAAAGAAATATTTGGATCTGCTCCCCATCGTAAGTGTGACACGAATCGAAGAAGATTTATTCCCTTTTCTGTTTTTTTAACTATATTGTCTATATGTTCTTTCCAGAGAAGCTGTCTGTCAAGAGCAATGCCCAAATATTTAACATATTTTTGCACTGGATAGGAAAAATTGTTTATTAAGATGTAGTTGGGTATCTCTTTTCGTTTTCTTGAAAAAATACATAATTTAGTTTTCGAATCAGAGATATTTAGTCCATGTAAATCACTCCATGTTTTAATATGATTGACTCCTTCTTCAATGGATTTGACTGCATTTTCTATTTTAATGTGTTCTTGATAAATGACTATATCATCTGCAAATTGTAAAATTCTTGTGGAGTTTAAATTTTTTACTAGATCAGCAGTGTAAATTAAATATAACAATGGGCTTAATATTCCTCCTTGATGTAAACCATCCATCGCTAGCCTTGGACCAATTGTGTTACAATTTACCGATATATAAATTTTTCTACAGTCATATAGTTTTATTATTTTTTGACAGAAACATTCGGGAAGACCTATTTGTGTCATTTTGTTGTACAGTATAATTAAATTAACGTTGTCGTATGCTGATTCCACATCTAATAAAAGAGCTGTTACTGAAAAATTTGACGTAAACGCTAAATTTATATCTGTTACCAAGTGGCTCACTGCTTCCACAGTAGAATGATTTTTACGAAATCCAAATTATGTTTGTGATAGTTTATTATTTTTTTCCAACCATCTTTTTTTTACACTAGGTTTTCCAACCTAGTGTAAAACTAAAGTTACATTAGACTTTGTTAAAAATAAGTTACTAATGAAAGAGGCAGTGAAGTAGCCAAGAGTGTCCTGGGGTCATGATACCCCCCGAAATATTATCAAATGTTAATGACTTTTTAATAAATACATAAAACATATTGAATTGAACAATTTTATTTTAAATTTCACAAATATTTTGATTTTTCCAAAGATTATTGTGAAGATCTTCTTCTTCTTTAAGTGCCATCATGCGTCAAAGGTTGGCAATCATCATGGCTATTCTGACCTTCGAGGCAGCTGCTCTGCTTGTATTCCGGTTTAATGTCCATGATTCAGCTCCATAGTAGAGTACACTGTATACATAGCATTTAATTCGCTTTTTTCTGAGGGCCAATGTCAGATCTTTGCTGCATAAAATCTTTTCATTTTCACGAAGTTGGCATGTGCTTTTTCAATTCTGACTCTTATTTCTGCAGTATACTCATTATTTTCTGTAATTAATATATCTGTAAGTAGGTATATCTTCTACTCTCTCAATCTACTGGCTGACTACCGTTAATATATCGTTTGTATTGTTGTTCTTGCTAATTTTCATGAATTTGGTTTTTTGATGTTAAGAGAGATTTTGTTCATTATTCTTTCTAAGTCTTCCAAGTTGTCGGCTATTATGACTGTATCGTCGGCATACATATTGTTAATTAAACTTTCGTTCACTTTTATGCCGACTGTCTCGTTTACCAAAACTTATTGTATGATTTCTTCAGAATAAGCATTAAACAATAACGGCGACAGTATGCAACCTTGGCTGACCCTCTCCTTATCTCCACTTCTTCTGACACTTTTCTTTTTCAATTTTCACATTTGATTGTTGGCTGGAGTATAAATTTGATATCAATGTTACATCCTTCACATCCAGAGTCTTGTTTTTCAGTACTTCTATAAGTCGGTCTTGTTTTATCTTATCGAATGCCTTGTTGTAGTCTATTTAGCATTCATAAAGATCTCGATTAACATCCAAACATCTTTGGGTCAGCACGTTAAAAGAAAATAGTGCCTCTCTTGTGCCCACTCCGTTCCGAAATCCAAACTGGGAATCACTAATATCCATCTCTGTGAATGGGAATCTGTATGTGCCATTAGACTGATCGTTCGATAATCACTACATTCTTTATCATTTACTTTCTTTGGTAGACAAATAAATGTTGATGTCAGAATTTCAAGTGGAATGATTCCTGTGAAATGTGTCAAACAGCCTACCGTGTAGAACCCAATCAAACGCCTTCTCAAAATCTATAAAACAGATGTAAATTGATTTCTGTACTTTCCATGATCGTTGAAGTAGTGTTAGCATTGAGAACAAATCTTCCTTGGTCCCAATCCCTCTCTAAAACCGAATTGTTTATTTCCCATTATGTCTTCACATTTCTGCTTGATTCTATTAAGAATTATCCTAAGAAGTGGCTTGAGAGAGTGACTCATGAGGCTAATTAGTCTAAAGTCTTTACATGATGATGTATTAGGTTTTTTTAGAAGTGAGATAAATGTAGACTCCAACCATATTTGTGGCAGTGTTCCATTTTCGTATCTATTTGTTAGTTCTGAGACATTGTCATCGTCTAGAAGTTTGAGCCAGTTTGATGGTATTTGGTCCGGGCCTGGAGATTTCCCATTTTTGCTTTGTTTGATGGTTTTCTCTACTTATGCTTTTAATATACTAGGTCCAGTATTCGTATACTTTGTGCCGTTAAGTGGTGGCCTCGTCTCCAGGAAGAGCTCTTTTATGTAGTTGGTCCATTCTTCCTTTTTTTTTTTCGTTTAAGTCGAGAATAATTTTACTTTTGGAGTTTCTCATAAAGTGAGTGCTTTTTCTCTGAGTGTAGGTAATTTCTTTAAGTTTTTTGTGGATATTAAACTCGTCATGTTTTCGTTGTAGTTTTTCCATCTCATGACATCTCTGTTCCATCCAGTCCTTTTTTGCTCGCTTAACCTCATATCTTATTTGTCGATATATTTCTCTATATCGAGTCTCATCTTTATTGTTACAATTTCTTCTTTGCTGAATAAGGTCTAGTATGTTATCAGATATCTAATCTTTTTTTACTGGCTTTTTTTCTGATTTTAAAACTTTCTCTGCTATGGTAACCATAGCGGAATTCATTATATCTATATTTTGTCCAATATTTTCTTGTTCAGATCTTCCGAGCTGTTTTTTAATTCCATGATTTATCTTATTTCCGAACTCATCGGCTATTACGGCATTTCTTAGAAGTCGATTATTATGTGTTTTGTGAGCTGTCGGGGTTTTTATTTTTTTTTTAATTTTAGTTTGAATCCAGCACAGATCAGATTATGATTAATTGCTGCGTTTGCACTTGGGAATGTTTTTGCATGTGTAATACTGTTTCTAAACCTTCTGTTAATGATAATGTAGACGATTTGATTTCTGACTACCTTTCCTTCTTGATCAGCTGGAGATTTCCAGGTGTATAGTCGTCTTTTAGGTTGTTGAAATAAAATATTTGCTATAATGCAATTCTCTTCTTGACAGAACTGTATTAGTCTCTGCCCTCTTTCGTTTCTTTCTCTAAGTCTATACTTTCCGTTTATATCTTGTGTTATTTCTGCATCAACTTTTGCGTTGAAATCTCCCATAATAATCGCAACTTCATGTTTTTTATGCTCCGGAGAATTTGTTTAATTTGGTTGTAGAATTGGTGTCTTTATTCCCAAACTTCTTTTTCTATCATTTTTGTCCTAAAACATGTCTGTGATCAAAAGTGTACAATTTTTGATGCTTTCTCCGTTTACTAAAAAAATTACCTAATTTATTAAACCTAGTAAGAAAACAAACCCAATAAACGACAAATACGAACATTTATTCGTTTTTATTTTTTTACACAATATATCCAACACACCTGGTATAAACTAATTAGTTATAACATTTACAAAATCATTATTTAACAGCCCAAAAAACTATCAAAATATTTAAATATTGAAACTCTCTTACGATGTGTCAAATCCAATTCCAAACTCAAAATCATTTAATTAAAAATCTCACTTCCTCTCAGCCAATGCGACTGCAAGGCGGACTTAACCCACTACCGTCAACCTCCATTGGTTGCACCACTCTCTTTCCCACCCTCACGTTCTCCAACTCGAACGACAGAGACAGAAGATCCTTAAGACGGTATCGGAGAATCTACGATCACAGCCTACTCGCTAACAGACTGCTACAAGGATTTCAAAGCATTCTTTGATGTAAGTCATTCGCGGTAGGACAACGTCATTGTTCAGTTACTGAGTACTTTATTTATCTTTTCTAAATGATGTCTAGTTCGATTTCTCTGTCTACGTCAGTGAATATAGCGACGACGACGACGTCGAAAGTCGGCATCGCGACGCCTTCGTTAGTGACAACGGCTGCTTCGCACATTTTGCAAAGTGTTGCTTCGAGCACAAACGGCAAAGAATTGGACAAAAGTGAAATTAACGATGCCGTTACCAAAGTGTTGCAAGGCTACGACTGGACCCTGGTGCCTATTGCTTCCAAGTAAGTACAACTATTTCCCTATTTTTGAATATATATTTTATAAAAAATAAGACTGGAATTTTAAACTACTGTTGAAGCATTTTTTACATAATAACCATTTTTTTATTATATTTTATGTTATTTTAATACTTTATAGAGTGAATTTATCTAGAATTTTGGTTTTTTACTTACTGAAATCTATGTTTCTTGTATCTATTCGTTTTGTTTTACATTTATAGTTGAACCATTCTAGTTGACAATCTTCATATCTTCAATACAAACATCTGCGGTCTTAATGTATATCTTCTAATAGTTGTAGGCTTTCTTAAAGGTATTTTGAATTAGTGTTTTGTTTTGTCTATTAAAATGCTTTCTGTCGTTTTTTAATGTAAGTATGCCTATGCTTCCAATTTCTTGCTTATAATATATACCAATTTTATTTCTCGGTTCCGTAGGAATGTAGGTATTCTTGCGATGCCTACCTTCACCTTCTCTACATTTTCTTCCGTTTTATAAACCTCTTTAGTTATTTCGCATTGAACTGTCTTATTTCTATAGGTTCCAGTACCGTACGTTATGTATACCTGTCTCCTAGACCACATATGGAAAGTTGCTATAAAATTCTCTTCTAGGTAGGTATTTATTGTATGTACATTTATTATTCATACTCTTTTATATTCTTATATCTATACTCTTATAATTTTCTTAATTTATTCCTTCAATACCATCCTTGTTCATTTGTCTTATTTTCAATTACTTTTTTTCTAATATACTTATTTTTGTAATTATTTTGGATGCTGTCGCTAGTTCTTCTTACATGTCCATACTACTTTAGTCTTTTTTGTTCTATATATCTTAGTATGTCTGTTTCTATTGATGTTCTTTGCTTTATTTAGTCATTACTTCTCCTATTAATACTTACTACTCTGCAGCATCTTCGCAGGCATTCCATCTCTGTTGCTACTATCTTACTGCTGTTTTTCTTGTTTATAATCCAATTTTCAGCCCCATATTTCATAATACTTCGCACTAATGTTTTATAAATCTGTGTTTTTGTCTTCATATTTAGGTGACTATCCCACCATTCTGAGTTAAGTTGTCAGATTGCTGTTCTTGTTTGTCCTAATCTTTGCGTAATTTCTTCCTATATTGTTGCCTTTTTCGTGATTATCCATCTGCGACAGAAATAATCTGCAGAAAGAGAATAACCGAATGGAGCCCCATAGGAAGCAGGAAAAGAGGACGACCCCGAAGATCCTGGAGGAATGAAGTAGACGATGCCTTGAGTAAGAGAGGCCTAAACGATGGAGAATGGAACAACAGAGAGAGATTGAAACAGTTGAGCTAGGGAAGGCAGTACACTGTAGAATCCCTGAATATATAAATTTTGGATGCCTATACCTGTTTCTAATTGTCTATATTCAATTCTAGTCATATGAGACTAGAATTAAATATAGACAATTATGGGTCTAAAGTGTTATGATTGATCTGTCTGAAAGGTCACAACTTTAGTCTTATTTTTTTATTGTTTTACTATTTAATATATAACATTCTGTTTAATATGTCTGTATTACATTCGATTTGTAAATGTTTGATAGTGATTTGTCTTTCGTATTTGAAAATTAATCACATCATTAATATTGTAATAACGTAATGTAATAATGTAAAATGTTTTATTTCGGAAAAGTATACAAACGTAATCTTTTTATGAATCCTCGAGTGACAGCCGAGGATGTCACGTGAACACCTCCTCCCTTGACCATGATTTAAAAAAGATAACTAAAAGTAAAATACTTTTAGTACTTTATACTATAAATTGTACTTTGTACTATAAATTCAATCTCGTAACAGGTTTTCTTACTCTAGTGGAACACCTTAAAACGGTTTCCTCAGTTGTAGTTTGAGCCCCAAGTACAATATTGGAGCTTTCCATATTGTTTGAAATTTCCGATTCCTCGGTAGTCACTTCGGTAGGTAGTGGTGATACACTGTGCTGTGAACTGGATGTCTCCCTTGCAACCAAATTGTAAGTGATGGTATCCGGAATGTAACATGTCTGATTCTTTTGAGATAGTGTATATTCCCCAATTTGCCGTATTTGGTATACATGACATTTCCAGTTTTCTACCATCATTTAACTAAATCAAATTATGTAATAACCCTCTTGAAAAGATCAAAGTTTCTTAGACTTTTGTCAGTATAGATAACTCTACTACACGAAGGTTTAAGTAAATCTAATCTTTCCCTTATTTTTCTTCCCAACATAAGTTCTGAGGGACTTTTGCCTGTAACTGTATGTGGACGTCTGCTGTACTGCATAAGAAGCTTACATAATTCGAACTCCCCGTTATTTCCCTCACTTCTCATAGTCCTTAAACAATTTTTTAGTGTTTATAAATATCTCCCCCCCCCTCTCCATTAGTTGCTGGATGGTATGGTACAGTAAGTTTAGTTTAAAGTTTAAAATGCCATAGGAAAATAGCTTCAAAACAACATGGTGTTGGGGTTATTGGCGATTAATGAGAGTTCTTTAGTCCTATGTTTTGTCCCTAACTAGGATAGACATTATTAATGACATACATACGTATGAGAAGGAGTAAGAAGAGATGAATGTTATGAAAATTAGAATAAATGAAAGTAAAGAAACAATAAGTTATTTTAATACACAAAAAAGATAAGATCAGCACTGAATAGTGATCTATGGAGATCGGGGATGTCTAAATATAAAAATAATCGTATCCGTAAGAAAAATCCAATAATCAAGGGATGTCATAAAATAGGCATGTGAAAAAAGTTGTTAAGTAATGCCTATATTCTAATATTAGAAACAGTTAATTCAAATTACAAAAGTTTTTTTAAAATACAGACCACAAAAAACACAACAGGCATACAACCACTATAAAAGAATCAAAAATAAAACAAAAACTGTAGTCATGAAAATAAAAAGAGAATACTGAGAGAGCTTCTGAAAATAGATGGAATACGACTTTACGAAACACAAAAAGAAATATGGAGAATAATTAGTGAACAAAGAAAAGAGATAAAGGAACTGATAAAAACGAGAGACAATCAGAAAAAAACATTGGCAGACTACTTTCAATTCTCGATATATTTTCAGATGAATTTAAAGAAGGAAATTTTGCACCAATCCACAAAAAAGAAAACAACAAGATTTTTATTAACTACCGGAGAATAACGCTCCTAAATACCACCTACAAGGTCCTTGCAAACATCCTGCTAAAAAGAACCAAAACATACACAGAAGAAATCATGCGAATATAACCGGGCCGCTATATTATTGACCAGATATTCACAATAAAACAGATGATGGAAAAATGATGGGAGTTTGATCTTTAGCTTCATTAGATGTTCATAGATTTTTAACAGGCATTTAACGGAGTATGCAAGGTTAGATTGTGGACAGTGATTAAAAAAACTGGTCAACTTGACACGGATATTATGGATGAGTTACGATGTAAGGTGAAAGTTGAACAACAATATTCGGAGACATTTGATGTAAACAATGGACTAAAACAGGGGGATGCACTTTCGCCACAACTCTTTAACTTAGCTTTGAAACTTACCTTCAATTAGAAGTGCAAAAATCAAAAATCCAGTATTCTATTGACAAGGACCAAACTGTGGCAGATGGTATTACTTGGCCATTACTGTTGGCATTTGCAGACGATATCTATCTAATGGAAAACATCAGGTTAAGAAAAATATAACAGTTTGACAAAGAAAACAAGAAACACGGAATACAGCTAAACTGCAAAACAAAAAGGGCACCAATGAGTTTTAACTTGAAACTCATAAATTAACTCAAGATTAAATAAATTAAACAAACATGTTTCTTAAAACACCAAAAAACACACCTCAGGAAACATGTCAGCAAATTATCAACAAAAAACTATAAGATTTGACATATTTATCCATAAATCACAATAACAAATGTTCAAAAAACTTTCAAATTTAAACAAACATGAATTGTAAAAAAAACACTAAACATTGTTAAAAACAATAAACTCAAAAATTTTAATATTTGTATATGTATATGTATAAATACATATTAATAAAAAGCAGATAATGACACAGATTCTCATCAATAATCATATAGTTAAAACAGATTGCACTTTTTAAATAATTTAAATAAATACAATACGCAAATTGCTTTAATTAAATCTTTAATATCTCAACATAAAAAATGATAATTTAATGAATATTTGACTGCAACCTGATCGAATCCCATTGGTCATTATCTCGTTTTACTCTAATAATTAACTTTCCAAAAATAGGAATTGACATAACTCCTATACTTAATTAATTATTTATGAAAATAGTTTATAGAAATTTTAATTCTTTAAAAAAAGTTCGGTAAAATAAAATAGGGAACTGTGATAACGGACCAACCAGATCCACACATAGAAATAAAACGTAGAATAGCAATGACTAAAACTACTTTTATGAAAATGAAATAATTTCTTTGCAATAACCGTCTCAGTTTAGAACTAAGGCAGAGAATGGTGAAGTGCTATGTTTGGTCTGTACTTTTGTATAGTGCAGAAGTGTGGACGCTAAAAGTATCGATCATGAACAAAATTGAAGCATTGGAAATGTGGGTTCATAGACGAATGCTGAAAATACCTTGGACATCAAGAAAAACTAATGAAGAAGTACTAAGGAGCGTCAACAAAGACAGAGAACTGTTAAAGACTGTTCAACATCGAAAAATGTCTTATCTGGGACATATAGTAAGGGAAAGTCAATATAAAATTTTACAACTGATCCTTAAAGGCAAAATAGAGGGCCGTAGGGGTGTAGGAAGAAAACAAGTTTCTTGGTTAAAAAACATTCGTGAATGGACTCTAGATACCAAATGCAGAACAATTATTTCATATAACAGAAGATCGAGAAGCCTTCGCAATGGTGAACGCCAACATCGGATAAATCTGATATGGCACGCGAAGAAGAAGAAAATAAAATAGATCAACCGTCCACAAAAACAACAAAAAATTATCTGT